CGACGCGGTCGCCGGGGACGGGTGTGGGGCCTGGCCTGGGGCAAAGCTGCAGCCCCTCCCCGACCCCGGGGAACTGGAACAAAGACATTCTCGCGCCGGTCACCTCACGCGAGGGTGTGCGTGTGGGCAGCCCAGCGTCTGGACACGGCCGCCTCTGGGACTGTCCACCCCCGCTTTGTATCTTCACCGTCGTGCAGTGACCACCTGCCTCGGTCCTGCAGCCCAGCTCTGGCCAGGATCATGTGGGTCCAGGGCGGGTCTGTCTCTGGTCTCTGTCTTGGTCCATGTGTCTGGGTAGTGCACAGATGGAGGCAGCTGCAGCCACGTTTAGGGGTTGGGGGATGGACCCTTAGTAGGCGGTCCAGGGCCCTGGAGGGTTAGGGGTGCACAGAATGGTGAGGAAGGCCACGGGGGGGGGGGTTGGGTGGGAGGCAAAGTTTCTGTGCATCCCAGCATTGCTGTCTTTCATAGTTCATTAGTATTTACATCTTCGTGAACCGCGTGTTCATTAACATGTTCACAAGTGTGTATCTGCCTTGAGCAATGTTTGGCAAATAGTAACGGAGCATCTCCTGTGTACTGTTTGCAAGTGTGTACCTTCTCAAGGCCACTGACGTGTGTGCATGGGTGCACGTGTATGAGCTCTGCCTCTCCTGCCCTTCCTTCGAGTGCCAGAAACTTGCACATACATGTGTGGGTGAGCTGCACCACCGGGCTGGTGATCTGGATGCGCGCTGAGTGTGTGCTCCTTTGTGTGAGTGCACCTCTCTGCATGGACTTGGGCCAATAGACGTGTTACTTTGTGCATATTCCAACCCCAGTGCACATCTCTGTGTGTGTGCCCTTGTCCCTGTGAGCACACATTTGTGTCTGCATGGGCTGCTTTGTGTGTGTGAACATGTGTCCTGCCTTTGCGTGTGCTTGCTCAGATATCTGCATGCAGGCTGGTTTTCTGGAGGGCTGCCCCAGCTTCCCTTGATCCAACCCCTTTACAAACAGGAGCAAGCAAGAAAAGCCTCAGGACCTGTGGGGAGGATCACTTTGGGTTTAGAGTGGCCCAGGGCAAGAGCATTAGGCCAGATGATCCCCTGTATTTTCTTCCCATCTTCTGTTACAGCTGGATGAGGGAAGGGGTCTGAGTGATCCAGGCAGTTCATGATCCCACCGTGGCTGTTGAGGGAGGTATGGCCAGGACTTCTCTGCTAGAGCTTGGTCCATGCTAAAGCCCACTACATTCACTTTGGCCCCTCCCTGAAAGCCTCTAGTGCCTCCTCCCCCTGGAGGGGTCTGGAACTCCCTCCCACAAACATCCTGTTAGACCTGGGAGCCATTTGTGTCTTCGTTTTGCAACAGTTTTGTTAGGGAGCAGGGACCTGGGGTGGGCTGAAGATGCCACCTGGACCTTGGTCTTGAGGTCACAGAAGCCTGGCTCAGTGGGTTCTGGGGTGGCCTGTGACCTAACTGGCTTGAAGGAATCCCTGCCCAGGTATCGCTGAGGTTGCAGCTTGATTTTCCTGGTCATAGAACTGGTTAGGGCTGGCAGGAGGATATGGAAGTGATGTGGAATCAGGTACCCAAGCTGCAAAGGGGGTTCCTGCTTGGGGACTGCTGGCCGGGTGAGGCCAGCCAGGACAGCCTCAGGAGTGGCCCCCCTAGCCCTGGAACACTGGCTAGGGGTCCAGGGCAACTGGAAGGGGAGCTACCAGGCCTCTGAGAGGCCTCTCCCCTGGGTGGGGCTCAGGCGCTGAGTCATGGCTTTAGTGAAGGGGGGGGACTGCTCCTTGTCTTCCATGCTGTGAGGAAGTCAGGACCTGAAGGGAGACCTCAGGTCCCAGGCTGGGGAGGGCAGTGTGAGTGGTTCTCAGGATGGTGCTGGTCTCTTGAGCCTTTGCTGGGCACCCAGTGTGTCTCCATGGGTACATTTGCCAGCCCCTGGTGCAGCCCTACTCTGGCCCCCTCCTGGAGACACAGGCACCCCCGTCCTGGCCTGAGTGCAGCTGTCTGGGCCATCCGAGGGCCTGCCTGGCCTGGGAGGGGACAGGGGCGGGGGACTGTAGTGCTGCCTCCTAGGCAGACAGTCCCTTCTGTGTTGTCTGGGACCTTCAGCTACAGCAGTGGTCGGGTCTGGGTCCTGGGTCTTGGGTCCAGGTTCAGCATCCTTGTGGGGTTCACTACACCTCAGGGAGGTGTGGGTGGGGCTCCTAGCAAAAGGGCATTTCTTCTGGGAGACCTGGGGAAGGGAGCACCCTTCAAGGGATCCTCCAAGTAGCTGCTGGGCTCCCTTTCTCTGTACCCTCCCTGATCTGGGATTCAGCACCCCCTTATCCCTCCAGGAGGGAAGGGAAGGGAGGTTGCTGGGAGGAATCTGATGTCCTGCTCAGGTGGGTAACCTGGCAGGGTTCCTGGTTCAGCATGGCCACTTTGGTCCCAGCTGCTAATTAAGGATACACTGGCTACACTCCTTGTGACTAGCAGGTCCCTCCCCCAGTTTGGGAACCCCTAGAATGTGGCCTGTGGGGTGGTGTTTGGGGGCTGCTGACTTGGGTGTTCCCCCCTACCCCCCCCATCTCTGGACCCCCTTGGGTATGGCTGAGCCCTTGTCCCAGAATACCTCATCCTAGGCCAGCCAGATGGGCCCAGCTCACCAGCTGAGCTGATTGTGTGTGTGATGGGGGCTGTTGGGATCCTGGCCCTATTTCCTTATTTCCTGTTCCCGGTGGAGGGGGGCGGTCACGTGCCTGATCCATCTGCCTCTGGCTTCTAGGGATTCTCCCATGGCTTCTCCTGGTGATGTCACTCCTTAACCCTTCCCTTCCTGGGGCAGCACCATTGTCAGGCTTTCCTAGTGGGAGTGAGTTCTGAGGGGACCCTTCTTAGCTGGTCTGGGGTCTCCTGGCTCCCTTGCTGCAGCCACACATGGGGGCCACAGGCACTGAGCCAGGGTGGGCTGCAAGAGGAACAGAGGGGCCAGAACTTCAGGAGTCAAGGGGTCCTCAAGAGTCCAGGGCCAACTCTGAGCCCCAGACAGCGGGGAGGCCATCAAGGCTTAGCCCCTGCCTGTCATGGACACTACCACTGTCAGATTCCAGCCTCTGCTGTCCCCAAGATTCAGCATCTGGAACCAGGTGGGGGTCATGGCCACATGATCTTTTCCTGTCTGAGGTGGCAGTGGGTGCTAGGTGTCTCCAGAGTCACTGGACCTGGCCCCCAGGGGCATGGTGTTTGCCTCTCTTAGCTTCAGTTTCCCACAGCAGACCCCTGGGGGATTCATGTGGAGATGAAGCCCCCACCTGACCCCAGTCAGCACAGCTCTTTGCAGGGCTACTTATTCTTGTTGCAGAGCGACCATTGATGAGGTAGAAACGGATGTGGTTGAGATTGAGACCAAACTGGACAAGGTAAGGGGCAGCCTGGGGCGAGGGAGGGTCCAAGCTTGCTCTGCCACCACACCCACAGTGGTTTGGGAATGGCTGAGTGGTAGAACCTGCCTTCCAGGAGTAAGAATTCACACACACCCTCCTGGGTGTGAGCACGCTTTGTGCTCAGGACCTGGTTCTGCCGCATGTCCCCATCTGTGTGCAGCTGCACAAATCCCAGGTGCTTGGTCCACACATATTCATTTGGACCCTGAGTCTTGTCCCTTTGAGCAGGATGACCTGAGGTATATCCCCTGTGCCTCTGCTGGCTGCTGGATAGGGACAGCTGCTGTGTGGGCTGTGACCAGCATGTGACAGGGTTGGGGGCTGAGGGAAGGTCAGGGAAGGGAGGGGAGTAGACTCAGAGCCAGGGAGGATGTCTCTGGGTCACAGGGCTGGCCTTATGATCCTGCCTGAGGCTTCCTGGTCTGCCCGCCTCCTGTTCCCCCATCGTGTGGAAGTTGACAACCTGCAGATGTTCAACTTCCACACAGTGAGCCTGTGTGCCACCCAGACCCTGGGTACCAGGCAGGCAGAGGTAGGCATGAAAGCTGTGATTGCTGCTCCCCTAGTCCCTGGCAGGTGCTGAGGGGCCCTAATGGAATTCTGGCTGCCCTTGGGAGCTGTCACCTTCGGAGCTGTGACAACTGTGAGTGCTGCTTGCCTGGAGAAGCTGATATCCTTAACCCTGCCCACCTGTCCTGTCCACAGCTCGTCAAGCTGTGCAGTGGTATGATTGAGGCTGGCAAGGCCTATGTCACCACCAACAGGCTCTTCGTGAGCGGAGTCAGAGACCTGTCCCAGCAGTGCCAGGGTGACACTGTCATCTCGGTGAGCAGCCAGTGGACCTTTGATCCTAAGCTGGGGTAGGGTCAGGGAGGCAGCCCCCACCCAGGGCCCAGGCCTCCAGCAGGTGGGTATCTGCCTCTGATCAGGTGCAGCCCTGTGTCCTGCGGGCAGGGAGGGTCTCCTCCAATTTCCTAGTAGGCTCCACCCACAAAAGGGCCTGGCTCAGCATGCCTTCCCTGCCTCTCCCCAGGAATGTCTGCAGCGCTTTGGAGACAGCTTGCAGGAGATGGTCA